TATTATGAAAAAACACCAAAAGGCTTGTCCCAGTGTTTCATAATTCATGTCCCGATTATGGAACTTCCTTCATAAAGTAATTTGTGGGTACTAATTTTAAGTTACTTGGAGTACGTTGCTCAAATGACACGATTTTCATTTGATACAATTGCATTTCATGCCAACTAGTTAGTTGTAATGGAATTGAATTTCATTTTAAAAGTTTGTTTCATAATACGGACAACTAAATAAGTAAGGTTATGTTTGATGATGTCCCTATTATGAAACCATTATACAGAGACACTTATTTTACTTTGAATTGAATGTAATAATCGAGCCTTTTTAGTTTAAAAATATTAAAATTAATTATTAATTGCTTAAAAATAATTTTTTGGTAATATTAGTTGTAAAATAGCATGTATAGTTTCATGTTTCGTGAATTGGGACATGTTCCGTCAATTGGCACGTTTACCTTATCCTTAAGATTTAACGGTGCCTGTGTATGCCATAGAAGTGCTACGATTTGTATTTCATGCACGCGTACATTTATACTTTTGAAATTCAACAATTTCAACCACATTGGGGTTATAAATTAGTAAATTAATTAAATTGAAAATGTATCAAATGAATGATGATTATAAGTATTTTGTATTTTTTTATTTGGTTTTCACAGCTGGTACGCTGTCATTATGTACAGTTTTTTTTTATTGAACGGATGATCCGTTATTTTTCTTATAACTTTTCGTTGGATATGATTTATTTGTTTTCCCATAATATCTCCAAATAAAAAAACATCTCAATTACAGTGCGGTGTATTATTAGAAGGTGGATTGAAATCATATGTATTGGTTGTAAACTATACATCAAGAAACATATGAAGGTTAGGCATCATAACATTCATGAAGGTTGGGCCCCTAAATCACGTCCGGATTACCTTTTAGCTTACGTCCAAGTACGTTAAGCAACAAAGGCCCAATCGCATCCGTTGTCCTACTCAAATATATTTCTGTAATTAAGGGATGGTATCATTAAATATAAACCTACTGACGATAAGTGTTTAATTAAAGTTAAATCTAAGTATCAAAGAGAAACACTGTATGGTACGTAAGCTTCGCCCCGGACACTGACTCGTGACCCATTAAATTAAATGAATACAGTAATAAATAAAAATTTGTTATTTTGGACTTACTCGTGCGTTAAAATTGTTTAAATCAATAAAAACGTCACAACATACATACCATTGATCTTTAAGAATTTTTTCATTCTTATCCTTTCCTGACTCTTATTTCCTTGTTTTTCGTTAGCAGACCAGAAGGGACACCGGAAAGTCTTCTGTTGCCTAACTTGACCGAAGATCAGGTAAAGATGATATTGTCTGCCCCTGAGTCTGGTACCTGCGACTTCCCTCAAAATTTCGTTATTCCTGACATAACTGATAAACTAAAAAAAAAAATCTTATCCCGTCGCGTTGGATTGTTTGTGTTATGGCATCATTCGATATGGGATGGCCTACTCGAGGAACAGGAAGAGATTACGACAGCCTCAGGGGCTATGGAGCTGACAGTGGCGATTTTGACACGAAGATTCG